TATTTAACATTTTTTGGAATGTCCAAGGACTTATTTGTTCCAAAAATTGTCCAATGACTTATTTAACATATTTTGGAATGTCCAATGACTTATTTGTTCCAAAARATTGTCCAATGACTTATTTAACATGTTTTGGAATGTCCAAGGACTTATTTGTTCCAAAAAAAAGTCCAAAAACTTAATCATTCTAAACAAGAAAGTCCATTGATTTTTATTGTACTTTTCCATGTGAGAATTACCATTTTCCCCCCTCATATTTTGTAGTTATTCAATAATTGGTTGTTGTACACGTGGCACTGAGATCACCTCTCCAGTATTGAAAATACATAGGCCTCGAGTCCGCAGCCTACCATTAGTCACCGTACACGTGTCCCATTAATTTCAAATTTTCTAACTTCATATTTGTTAAAATTTAATAGCATTTCCGATCATAAAAGTTGTTTGTTTATCTCTTAGTAGTTTTAGTAAGAGACAATATTTTAATCGTTAAGAGATGAATCTTGTTTGACAAAAAAAGTCTGTCTCTTAATAGTACCAAAACCTTCTGAATAATTTTAAATCATGAGCATCTCTTAACCATTCAGCGTCCTAATTTCATTGCAAGCAATTATCAAACAATTATATTTCATTTGCATTGTATCATGAGAGCTTCTTAATCATTCTGACTATTTAATCATTCATCAACTACCATAAAACCCCTAAGATTAAATAGAAAAAATTGAAGATTTTAGAATATTTTTTCTCCAAACGTTTATGTTAAGTGGTGTATTGAAGAGAATTTAGCTTAAATGATCATTTTCTGCATTTAAATAGGTTTTCTAATTATTTTTCTCATGTTTTGACCTAAATGTCATTGTATCTGCAATATCCAGGTCCATAATATTGCAGACCTAGCTAAAAGATAAAAAATGTCAAATTCAACCATTTTACCGTTGCAATTGCAGATTTGGCCGTATCCATTACGGACTAGGCTGTCAGAATTGCATATCTGTGTGGAATCTGAATTTTATTTCGGCCTTAAGCAAGTT